CCTATAACCGCCCCTAAACCCCCTGTATGACCATGTGGATAAGAGTTTGGAAAAGCTCAACATTGGGCCATGCTTCCGCCGATGGGTTGAAATCTTGCCTTCGTCTTTATTGATTTCGAGAAATATTATGACCATGTGGATTGGCTCTTCGTAGATAAACGTCTGGAAAAACTCAATGTCGGGCCATGCTTCCGCCAATGGGTTGAGATCTTACACGCAAATGCCATGGCAGGCATCATGATCAATGGACATCTGGTGCCACCCATTCCCCTACATTGGTCGGTGAGGCAAGGGGACCCTATTGCCCCTTTCCTCTTCGTCATGATCATGGAGACGCTGGCAGCTAATCTGCGAACTCATAAGGACATCAAGCGAATCCAAGTCTCCTCGATCTCGGAGGAGACAGTCCCCGTCTGCTCATTGTTTGCAAATGATCTGTCTCTCATGATGGAGGCATCCCAAGAGAACCTGGCAGAAATCCAGCACATGATGGATCGGTTCTGCACTCTACCCTTGGATGGTGGATCCATCACTAAGGAGCCAGACCCCCAGAGCACCCTCAAGTCAAATGGCTTCCCATGGAGTCCCCCATCCAGGTCTTGGGAGTCTCCCTGACACTGCTGACGACGAAAGGCAGACCAATAGCCAACAACGAGTGGATTGCCGAACCGGCCCTGGAGAACCTGGCCATATGGAAGGGCAAACATGTATCCTTCCCTGGCCGCACATTAATCATCAATAACTTGGTCCTGGCTTACCTTTGGTTTAAATCAGCAATTTAGGTACCCGATAGGACCGCCCTGCGCTTCCTACAGCACTGGGTAACCGCCTATTTATGGTGTGGCAATCACGAATGCAGCAATGTGATCAGTCGGGTGGCATGGCAATCTGTGATTTAGCCCAAGTCCAATGGGGGCTTGTGCATCATGGACCCAGTCACACAGGCTATGGCATGCAATGGATCAAGCGCCTGCTCTTCAACGCACAAACCCCATGGACAGAGCTAGCCCTGGAGCGGATCGCTCAACTTGGTTGGAGAACAGATCTTACCAAATCCCGAGGGGGCAAGTGCACCCAACTGCCCACCCGCAGGCCCCCGACCTGCAGGCAACACGGGCTGACCTGTGCAAGGACCCCTTCTGGCCCAACCTTCACAAGATATGGCGCCAGCTGCCTCTGTGAGATAACCCCCCCCCCCAAGAAGATGAGAAGAGGTCTGCCAG